CCCCAAAACCCCAAAACCCCAAAACCCCATAAAGTTGATTTTTAAATTTATGAGTAATGATATTTTAAGTTAAATATTAACTGAATTTTCATCCTTATAATCATATTGAATCTTATTCTGGTTATAATCCAGCAATTATATCAAGTTCAAACATAATATCCTAGATTTTTTTGCTATTAAACTTTTCTATATATGTCTAGATATTAATAATGATCTATTCATCTCTTTCCATGCTTATTGTATGGCATATTTAATTACATTCATGATTCTAAATCCAATTTTTCATGCCCTAAGTCCCCCAATCAACATTTCCTAATTAGCCACCTTTGTTAGAGAATACAATTGGGTCTGTCATTACATATTGACCAACATCAACCTTCCATCCTTAAATATCGGTTATCATAACTAGTCCTCCAGTAACCATAAAAGTCCAGTGACTGAAGGCATGAGGCAATCTTACTTGACCAAAATGTTCATGTGTTGTTACTGTTGAAAACTTGTCTCCTCTAGGTCTGCTGAAATTATCAAACTTTATGTAATCACTTGTTTCTTAGTGTTCCTCCAACTCAAATACATATTTAATCTCCTAATTGTATAAGGGAAATGCTAGATAAGGTTAAATGTACTTCAGGAATATTTTCTCTTATGGGAATAATTAATCTAGCATTAAGTTAAATCTATTTGCCAATGTCACTGCAATATACTGTTTTGCAATATCGAAAGGAACTTCCATAAGATCATTATATTTTTTAACTTTCTTTATAACCCACTTTTTAATTGGATCGATTCTCTTTTCTTTTAGGACTATAAACCCATTCTACAGTTTTTATTGCTCGAAATCCCTTCGCTAAATTGCCTCATAAACTTAATGAAAATGACCTTCCCCTAAAATTTCCCTATTTGTGTACAATTCTAACTCTCTTATTTTAACAAAGTCAAAGGTATCTTGAGTCATCTCATATATTTCATACCATCTGTAATCATGATCTCTATGTAGTTTTACAGAGATAAGAGTCATTGGATCTTCTTTAAAAATACCTCTAAATATTTCCATCACGTAATTGACATACTTGAACCATTCTGTTTTATTCGCTCTGTAGGCATGCCTAATTCTTGAGATGAGCATCATTTTATTTATAAATTCAATTTGCTGATAACATTCGTAGCACATCAGAAATTAGCATTGTTTGTCAGTATCATATTAAGAGCAGGAATAGTAAACAGCGAATTGATTACTCAAACATGTTTTGCATTAAATGAGGTTTTTTATACTAGGATCAATTGGGTCGATTATTCTCTTAATTTATTATTTGCAAAAGCAAGGGATGACACTTAAAGGGATTTATGGAATAACTTTATCTCTATCATTGCTGATAATTTGTACGCTTGCATGAGCAAGGGATCTGGTTTAATTACTTTCTAACTATATTGATGGTTTATTAATTCAAAAAAACTTACTCTTATTAAGAATTTGCCTCATACATCAAAATTATCTTTACTTGATTCTGAAGATTTATAGGACCAATCTCCAGAAATAACATCTTCATACTCTAGTATTCCCTTAAGTCTATGACTCTGTTCCCCATTCTGCAAACATTCAACATTTATATCAAATAATCCATCCTTTTGAGTACCTTGTAGCTTAAAACTGATTTTTTTCCCTTAGCTTCCAGAACCAGATACCTTATTTCCCTTTATTGAGAACTCATTTAGTATAATCAGACTCTATATTTATCCTTCAGACCCAAAAATTCTCTCTATCACAAATTTTTTATTAGCAGAACTCTCCATAATTCTAAATCAATTAATTATTTCTAATTTGGATAATCATAATTGGTAAATATTGAACGCTATATATTAATAAACTAGTTTTTGGTTGAAAATAACAAATTTTAATGAAATGGGGTTTTGGGGTTTTGGGGTTTTGGGGTTTTGTTTATTCTTTTAACTAAA